GTGCCTAAAGCAAGGTATGTTCATGAGATAAAGAAATTCAGCTCACTGTCCTTATCATAATCGTATGACCTTAAAGGAACGTAGGCTGGTTATAACAACTGTTTTTAAGAGAGTAAACGTTCGTTTCTTTGTCAACATTGAACAACTAGTCGAATTCAGAAGAATCATTTAAGTAGGCCATACTCACAAAAGAAAAAAGCAGGGCATAACAGTGATGCAAATCGATGGGATGAACAGAAACCTAATCAAAACAATGAAAACTATTCGATTATTGTATGAAACAGTGGTTTTTAGTAAATGCCCCATAAGCTACTTGAAACAATAGGTTAACACAATTATGACATTGACCTTGAAAAAGAACGAGATGCAATGAGAATTTACAGATATGTTACTGTTGTTCCATTACCGTGATCTGAAACAAACAATCCTGAAATAGATCCAGATTTATATCTGACCGATAAAAATGCTACCCTAGATTTGTATTAGGCAACGTTCATCGCTCTGGCAAAGGTTATATATATTGGTGAGTAGGTCTGAATCACGTAGGTGTTCCTACACTGAGTCCGTAGTCAGTGTAAAGTTACTAATTGAGAAGGGATCTGAACATATTTCCGTTCTCTTTTCGGGCCGAATAGTTAAAACAAGCCATTTGCCAGTTTTCATCTCATCTAATGGTTTTTTCAGACAGCTAGTCGTCAGCACCTGTTTATTTATGATTCAGTGATGGTACTGATAGTAGTTACTCCACTATGTGCCTCTGGAAGAAAGAAATAAACCTAATGAAGAAAAACCGTCATTTCAGATTCTGTAATCGTTGAAAAGATGAAAAAATTATAAAAAACCATAAAAGTGAACGAGATACTAAAAGAACTCAACAAAAAATGCAAAACAACCGAAAAAAAGTAATAAACCCAAAACAAAAAACATGCAATCGGGTAAGTGGCACAGAATGAAAATGACGGTTAATGAAGAGCCAACAGAAGAAACAAAAAAAACACTTCCACTTGGGTCAGGAAGTGAACGTGAGACACGATGAGAATGCTGAAATCTAGGGTAAACGTAGATTGCTGGGTGTTTAACTCGATCAAAGACATCGTGTTTAGGAAGACCAGCAAAATATCCTTAACTATTCAACGCAACCGTATTGCCCATGACGCCACAGGGTTGTAAAACATGGTCGCTGATGGAAATGGAGAGACATCTGCTGTTTATCACTGAGAAAATCAGAGAAAGAAGGATGCTGTGGATTTTAACCCGTATTTAAATCGAAAGGAGGAACAACAAAGTGCGATAGGCGATATATGATGGCTATCAGATAATTTTATCTTAGGCTAAGGACAAATGTGACAGAGAAAGGCAGGAAACAAAAAAGAACGGAAGAAATTTTCTCAGGCATAATCGACTGCAGTTTTCTCTACTCAACAGGTAAAAGAAAACTGTCAAACGGCAAAAAAGGTAGGAGGCGCCCATTTGATGCATTCAAAGTTGTATTCAACATGGGACCACTTAAATTCTAAATCAAATTTCTAAACTTACAGTCTTCTTTTGGTTGGTATCTGTGGTAGACGTCGACGCTGTTCGAGGTGCTACCCCCAGTTCTAGTAGTTCGTCCACCGGTAAGGCGTTTAAACGCGTCAGAAGCTTTTCGGCCGCATCGTGCTTCGCCAGTTTTTTGTTCCTTCCCTTACCTAAACAAAACCGCGAAATTCAATCCTTATTTAGCTGTGGAAAAAGGCATCAATTCATAGGTACTGCTTCGATAGCAATTAAGGTTCGATCCTCCGAAGGTTTGAAGGTTCAAAACAACAGTTTAAAAGGGATCATGTAATTTCCTTTAATAAGCTAAGAAACTTACATTATCATTTATACGTTATTGCTTTGAACCATTCATCATTAATTCTTATCAGAAACAAAAAAACCACAGCATAGAGCACCAACTCTTAGTGATGGACTGTAACTAGATCATTTTATGTTGAACCGGAATATGCTTTTCATAATATGTATTTAAAGTATTCCGGTCGGAAAAACTGGGTAGCGGTCACAATACGGAGTTTTGGCAGATAAGCGAAAGCGGAGGGTATACACCAAAGCGGCTAGAAAGCCCTGAAGGCCTGTCTCATGAACCAACTATAAAACGATTAACTCATGAGACCGCGGTAATCTCGGCTGGCATGGCTCCCACTGCGGTTTAAAGCCGTTCTGAGGCATGTTGCTGATTCAGCGATCTTCTCATGGCAGCGGCATGGGCAAGAACGTCTTGGATAATAGCCCTTCTCCACTATCGCATGCGTGGCGAATTTCAACAACTAAACTGTGGTATGCCGGCAATATTTTTTTTACCAGAACAACTGTATGAAGATCTATAATATCAACCATTTGGAGAGCTCCATGAAGTATAACACTGAACGTTAAACAGCGATACATCAATTTGCTCAATGTGACAGTTTTCTTCAAGTTTGTCCCTATCAACTTTGATTTTTGGTTCTGCACTGGTTTCGTAGGTGGCTTATTTGCTTACTAATTTTTCTGTCACCTCTAAATGAGCAAATGCAATTCTGTTTTGTAATATTAACACTGATATAATGTTTTTATTCTTTTTTTCGTCAAATTACAACATGATTAAAAAACCGGAAAGAAACATTGAACACCATCCGCACTTTTTAATTATGTTACATAGCATGACGAACCGTGAAGAGAAAGAACAGAAAACCCGGGAGAAGGTGATGGATGACAGTAGGAAAGAGGAATGGGAAAAAATACCCCTGGCCAGAAATTTTAGATCATCACTAGCCATTGTACCAAGTTCGTCAAAACAAGATTGCGGATATTCTTAAATGAATCATGCTGGAAGCTGAATCATTCATTTTCGAAGCCCGCCGTACCGAATGACGCAGTAGCCGCGGTTGGAGTATTGCCTTTCTAATGTTCAAGCTCCTTTGTCTAGATTCTAATGCGTTGCGAGCTCAAGCACTGGAAACTCTGTTAATCCAATCGGCGAATACACTATCAACAAAAACTGTAAAAATGGAAACGTCCTAGACTTACATAAGCGCTAATAAATGCTTTGAAAGGTCGAAGTAATAAAAGGGTCATCGAATGACAGCAAAAAACTAGGTGTACCAGTGATGGAAAATGATAAATGCGATAAATGATGACCATGAAAAACAAACGTCTATGTACAAAATGTCAAAACATGTCAGCACAAAAATATGAGACGCGTTATTCTACCTGTCTCCATCAGATCGCCAACTTGAACGCTGACATAGAATGTCCTTTCATGAGGCATTCCTACCGCGCTTACGTCCTTGTACAACGGTGCAGGCAGCTGTTTCTGCATGCATACTGTGTTCAGAACACTGGCTGCTAAAGAAGGAGACCGGGATGGCAGTTCAGATAAAGCATTCTCTGAATTCGTGTCAGGTTTTGTTTCAACGAAGGCGTCAAAATTTGGAATTTTGCTGCACCTGAAAAGTAAGTTACGGTAGAAACATGAGAACAGGTTTCTTTTCAAAGGGTCTGTAATACTTTACGAAGCAGTGGCAGTTTTTCAAAAGAAGTTTTAAGAGAATGTAGGTACTGATTTGAAATAAAATTTCAAATATACCATCAGAATACATTTAAGTTTTATTGTTTGCACAGTTTTAGATCAGAATCAGGGAATCAGGAAGAAGGCTGATCACCGTTGATGCCGAAGCACAATTTGCTATGATATTGCATCTCAGCGTCGCGAACCACTTGTACGTTAAATAGAACTTGAAACTTTGACAGGTTCCCATCACCCCTACCGGTTTGACATCTAATGGTAACCTGTATCGACTTTATGAAAAGTAATGATAAAATAAATATTTTTTAAATATGTGGACAAACAGGTAAATAAAACGCAATAACTGTTTGCTTAGGTGACTCCCGAGTCTGTGAATAGAATTGCAAGCTGTACTGACTTAAAGGACCAGGTATTTTCTTCGATGTTTTCATCATTGTCTTTCTTCTTTCCGTTGCGTGGTTCCGGAATGTCCGTCTTCCTCGAGTTTAGCTGCTATCGTGGAACCGAGAATTACC